ACTCGATGGCACCTGACAACAACAACAACAAGCACCCAAACTATCCTGTGAGTATTCACCTTCCCCTCCCTCCCCTAGTCCCACCCTCTACACCCCAATAACCAACAAAGAATTTTTTTCCCTCTTTTAGTAAGGGTACTGTTTCTTAAACTTTGACAATAATGGTCCTATGCGGTATTTCTCCTTTTGTGACTGACTAATTTCACTCAGCATATATCCTCAAGGTTCATCCATGTTACCCGGTGGCTTGCAGGTTTCTTGTTATTCTTCAAGGTAGCATAGTATTCCCTTGTGTGTATGTACCAAACTTTGTTTATCCATTCTTCCATTGATAGGCACTTAGGCTGTGTCCATCTTTTTGCTATTGTAAACAGTGCTTCTATGAACATGGGTATGAGTATATCTACTTGTGTTATGAGTCGTATTTCCAGTGGATAAATACCAAGTAGAGGAATTGCTGGATCATAAGATATTTCAATTTCAACTTTCTGAGGAAGCGCCATATTGTTTCCCAGATTGGTTGGACCATATTGCAATCCCATCAGCAATGTAGCAGGGTCCCAGTCTCTCGGCATCCTCACCAGCATTCATTGTCCTCTACTTTTTTGATCTTCGCTATTACTGCTGGTGTGAGATGATATCTCATTGTTGTTTTGATTTGCATCTCTCTAATGGCTACTGACTAGATGGCACCTAACAACAATGACAATAAAATGGCTAGTGGGAGTCCAGGTGTGGTGCTGTGGGTTAATATGTCAGTCTGCAAGGCCGTTTGAACTGCAAGGTCAGTGGTTCAAGCTCACCAGCTGCTCCTTGGAAACCCTATACAGGGTCACCCATCTGCATTTCATTTCATCAGCCTCGCCCAGACAGGTCGGATCCAACTAGACGGCACTTAATAACAACAACAATGGCTAGTGATTGTGAACATTTCTTCGTATGTTTGTTGGCTGTCCGGATCTCCTCCTTGATGAAGTGTCTGTTCATGTCCTGTGCCTATTTTTGAATTGGGTTATTTGTTTTTTTCTTGTAGAGGTATTGTAGTTTCCTATATATTTTAGAAATTGGTCTCTTGTCTGATGATTCGTGGCAAAAGAGTTTCCCCCATTCTGTGGGCTCCCTTTTCAGTCTTTTGGTGAAGTCTTTTGATGCACACATGTTTTTAATTTTTAGTATGTCCCATTCATCTATTTTGTCTACTTTTGTTTGTGTAATTTTCACAATGTTTGGTAGTCTGTGTGTATCCTGTATTAGAGCTCTCAAATTTGTCCCTGTTTTTTCATTGATGGCCTTTATAATTCTGGGATTCACATTTACATCTTTAATCTATGCTGAGTTGGTTTTTGTATAAGGCATGAGGTAAAGGTTTTGTTTCAATCTTTTGCATATCGCTTTCCAGTTCTGTCAGCACCATCTGTTGAAGAGACTATCTCCTCCCCATGCAGTATACTTAGACCCTTTGTTGAAAATCAGTTGGCTGTATGTGGATGGGTTAATTTCTGGATTCTCGATTCTTTTCCATTAATCTATGTATCTTTCACTGTACCACTACCATGCTGTTTTGACCACTGTAGCCATGCAGTAATTTTTTTTTAATGTTTTATTGTGAATTATGTGATATTTTACAT